GACAAACTTCTCAGCCTGTGAAGTATGTCAGAGAGGAAGGGCCCCAAATTTGATCTCTGTCTATAATGCTTATAAGCTATGGGGCACGAGGCTGCTTACTTACCTGGGCTGCTGTAAGAATGAAGTTCAGAGTGTGTGGGAAACCCACATTACTATGGAGCAGACACTGTGCAACCAGCCAGTGTGTCCCAGTTCTGCTGCTTAGAGCCGCTCTCCCTGGGCATGTCCCCAGTCTGTTTGAGCTCCAGTTTTGGTGAGTAGATGGTGTCAGTAATATACCATAACCACTGAGGATTAAGAAAGATCAAAATAATAAAGATCACAATCCCTTTTGCTGATAACCTACTTTAAATGAGCATCTATTTAGGAAGCTGTTTGTTAGGCATAAAACTAAATATACTTAATAAATATATATAAATATGTCTAAAATATTAGGAATGGATATGGTAGTGAATGCTTGAAATCTCATCACTTGGGAGGCCTAGGCTAGGGAATACTGTGTTCAAAGCCAGAACATCTTAAAATAAATGAAAATAAAACTGTAGGCAGTAGAAGTAGCCTGGGTGGCAAAGTACTTCTCATGCCTTCTGGAGCCTTATGTTTACATGGTGTAGTGGTGCATGCTTTTAACCCCAAAACTGGAGAGATAAGAACAGTCAGGCCCCAGCCTGAAGTCTGCCAGCTTAGCTTACTTGGTCAGCGCAAGACCAAGGAAAGACTGTTTCAAGACGTCAAAGTGGGCACATCCTGAGCAATGTCATCAGAGAGTGACCTCCAGCCTACATGTTTCTCAGTTCACACAACTCATACTCACATATAGATTTGAATCTATAGGTACCTATAAATATATTTATTTCAGGTGTATAAATTTTTAGGTATAAACCTATAGCATATATAGATATGTTACTGAAAAGAAAAACTGCTGCATAGCAGGCCAGGTTTCAACGCATCTAATTGCTCTAGGAGCCCGTTGGACAGTTAGATCCTGTATTATTTTACTACTGAGGTAGCTAAAGTTCAGTGAGGTGAAGGCATGTCTTTGTATTGCAAAGATGCTTAGCAGATGAATGAGTCTGACACCAAGCCTGACTGCCTGAGCATGATCCCCAGGTGCCATAAGTAGGAGAGAACCCTCCCACCAGCTGTCCTCTGACCTTCACAAGCCCACTGTGGTGCATGATTGCATGTGTGCATATGTATATGTGTGCGCATACATTCTCTCACACACATAGGTATGCACAAAGTAAATAAATTGAAAACATTTACAGACAGCCTTACCATCTCCTCTAGATGGCTAATAGGAATTACATGTGCATCTGTGCACAGATTAAGTACATGTGTAGAGTGAAACCAGTGTATCTGAATGGTTTTAGCTTGCTTTATTTACAGTTCGATCTTAGCACTATTCCTTTTGGGAGAGGCACTTTTGGCTTTTAATGACTCATCAGTGTTCTCATAGTATCAACTTTCCACCAGACAGACACGCTGTAAATACTTTCCTCTGGTTGGACACATGTGCATGGTGGCCATGGTGCTGCCTCTCTAGGCCACAGGTGCCTCTCCAGGTTTTAAGGAAGGTAGCCAGTACACAGCACAGGAGGAAAGTTGGGATCTCAGAGGAAGCCCTTCTAAAGGGCTTAGTGTGGCAACTGTTACTGATCAAATGCAAACTTCCAATCCTGGAACCATAAAACTCAGGAACAAGAAGGTATAATTTTATTTGTGTACTGAAGGGCTCCATTGTGGGTTGTGTGACAAGACAGTCCCTAGTCTAGTGTTAGCCATCAGGTGGAATCCTGAGCAGTTTATACAATGAGAATTTCATACTCTTTAGAAAACATTTGGAGAATTTTTGTATATGTGTCCCAAATACTTCTGTCTGTATATGTGTATTCTTCTACAGGAATGGAAAGTAAAGGAGCCCCTCACCAACCCAACCTCTGAAAATGTGTCCTCTCTTCTGTTGTGGGGATATTTACTTTCAGATTCAGTTTTTATGTCTTTACTGATGAAAGCAAGCAAGGCTATGGAGAGGAAGATTGAAAGCACAATTCCTATGTAGGTACCCATGCCTGTGTTCATATGCCCACACAGTTCCCACACACATGCACATGTGAGTACGGTACACACGTTCTTCAGTCTGGGCCTGCAAACATGTGGATCATAGGCTCAATCCTATGGCTCCTGGAAGATGGTACCTTCTATACGACGATGGTTCTTTGCTGTGGAAGTACTGCCAGGCAAGTGGCCTAAGATTAGAGAGGAAGTCTACGAGCTTCCTGTTGGAATGATGCTGTCCTAGTATGGCAGGGCTTTTGCTTGTGTGCCAGATTGTGTATATGTGTGGGTCACGAAGTGCTCATCCAGAGCACTGACTTTTTACAAAGGCTTCTTCCTAGGAAGTAGACAAGATTTGCATGACAGGGTATCTCACTAAACATCAATCTCACCAATTCAGCAAGACTAACTGGCCAGTGAGCCTTGGACATCCTCCTATCTCTAACTCCTCAGTGCTAGGATCACAGATGGGTACCACCACACCCATCTTTTTATGTGGGTGGTAGGGATCCAAACTCAGGTCCCCAGGCTTGCACAGTAAGCACTTTACTAATTCAGCTGTCCTTCCAGTCTTCAGAATTCAATGCTATTAAGACAACCTTTGATACAGAAAGAGGATTGGAAACCAAAAATATTCAGCAGACATTCAGGGTAAAAAAAAAAAAAATCTTGCTTCTCAAGTTCTGGTTGGCCAGATGGAAACATTTCCCATCACTGGCTCTTTGATCTTACATTGACAAACCCTCTTTGGACCTCTACTATTTTACCTGTCTGTGATATTAGCCTATCATTCTTGAAGTGTTGCTGCAAGCACAGTGCAGTGATTTGAACAGGAATGGCGCTCATTGACCTATGTGTTTGAATGCTTGGTCCACAGGGAACTATTAGGAGGTGTGGCTTTGTTGGGTTAGGCGTGGCCTTGTTAGAGATGGGCTTTGAGGTCTCATATGTTCAAACTAGGCCTAGTGTGACAGTCTCTTTCTGCATCCTGCGGCTCAAAATGTAGAACTCTCGGCTCCTTCTCCAGTACCATGCCTGGTATCATGCTGCTATGTTTCCTGCCGTTATAATAATGAGCTGAACCTCCAAAACTGTAAGCCAGCTTCAATTAAATGGTCTCTTTTTATAAGAGTTGTTTTAGTCATGGCATCTCTGCACAGTAATAGAAACCCTAACTAAGGCACATGTTATAGAGATCATTGTGCAATGTGTGTGTGTGTGTGTGAGCGCGTGTGTGTGTGTGTGTTTGTGTGTGTGTGTGTTTTGAAGGGAGACAGAGGAGAAAGAGAGAACAGGTGCTCACAAAAGCTTTGAATTCCTCTGGAGCTGGAATCATAGGCAGTGAGCACCTACTCACTGGGAGAGTTGGGAACAGGAACAGGTCCCTGGGAGGATGCTTGCACTCTTCATGATAGAGCCTAATGTTCAAATTCCACAGAGCTAATGGGTATATGCTTTTGGTAACTGGACCAGACAGGTGAAAAGCCTGTGGCATAGGGCTATGGTCTAGCTTTTCTTGGCATCTTCTTAACCCTTGCATGTTTTCAGATGGACAGGATTAAGATTAAGATAATTACACAAGGCGGCATTAAGATATTCGTAAGTAACTACGTAGGGTAGATTGTTCAACCATGAAGGATTGGTTTTTTAAGAATTAATTTAATAAAGCTAGGACTCGGTTGTGAAGAATGTATACTGCTCTTCTAGTGGATCTGAGTTACATTTCCAGCATCCACATTAGGTGACTCTTAACTTCATGTAGTTCCAAAACATCTGAGCTCAAATGTAATGAATAGTGCATGAAAGGGCTGTACTCATCCTAAAACATGACACATCTTCCCTCTGTTGCAGAATATTAAGAAGTTCAGACTGAGTCTGGTGGTCCATTTTACACAGCTGGTCATATGAAAGTGTTCTGTATACAGTCCCTTTCAAGTTAATGATTAAGACCCGATCTGAGAAGGGTATCATTAGACAATTTTGTCTTTGAAACATCACAAAGTACATTTACACAAACCATGAAAACCTTGGTGGTAACCTCAGGGACCATTCCATAGATCATAGATGTGGCATGTAACTGTAAGCTAACTCTCTCTCTCTCTCTCTCTCTCTCTCTCTCTCTCTCTCTCACCCACGCACACACACATACACACACACATACTCTAATTTAAAAATTAATTCATTTTACAGATAAGATTTCAAAATGTAGCTCAGGCTGACTTTGAACATAAGGACAATCATCCTGAGGCTGAGATTGCAGGTATGAGCTACTATGCTCAGTTTCTGGAGGACTTCTTCAATTTTTCACATTTTGTATGTATAAATGCACGTGTATGCCACAGTGTAAGTATAGAGTTCAGAGGACAACTTATGGCAGTCAGTTTGCCTTCTATCATATGGGCTCTAGGGATTGAACTAAGGTCCTTTCACTTGGCCACAGACACCTTTGCTTTATCTCTGTAGGTTCTGAGGTGATTCCTAAATTATTAGTTTAAATAAGAAACACAAAAGACAAAGCACACTGCCTGACCCCTCCTAAGCATCCAGTCATATGAGCTGTCAGGTTTCCCCACAAATGGCCCAACTAGTTGTCTCATTGCTTGTATTTGAAATTTACAGTGTGCCAATATTGAGGTTAAACCACAGACAGTATCATGCAGAAAACCAGCTAAAGTGAACTATTTCTTAGACATCCCTGTATGGGTCCATTGAGTATGGAAAAAGAAAAAAGAAAAAGAAAGAGATATGACCCAGAGGAAAGAGTGGCTACAGTAGCATCTGGTCTACCTGGACCACTGTTTATTTTGGTGGTACCCACCCTGGGCCTCTCATGGGCACAAGGATACAGGTGTGTGTGTGTGACTGTGTGTGTGTGTGTGTGTAAAATAAACCCCATAAATAAATCCACAGAGGCAGAAGAACTCAGGACACCAACTTACAGGTACCTTTTCAGACTAAGCTTTTATTTTTTGATATTACAAACCAGTTTTCTTTATTCACAAACCACTGTAAGTGATATAAACACTAATTTCTAAAGACAGATATACACATTTTTCTGGGTTTGCAGATTGGGTGATGTGTGTTAAGAAGTCACTATATGCCACATTAATCTTTTTTCCATAATTCATAATAGCAATAGTTATTTAGATAAATGAAAACATTCCAAATAAATACTGTTGTTTTAAAAAATCCAAAATGTTTGTTTACACCTCTGACATGACAATTTAAAACGACTTATCGGCAGCTCAGCGGAGTGCCTAGACAAAAGGTTCTGCGACATCGGTTGGCACCCACTTGCTCTAAATGATTTTTATTAAAACTACATACGGTCGTGGGGGAAAGTACAGTTCATTGATGGAAATCAAAACCGCAAATGAGTTTTACTTTAGCCAGCACAGTAAGAATTCCATGTTTGTGATTTCATACACAATGCAAGTTCTGGGCTTGGAAAGCTGGGGCGACTGGGAGGAGTCTGTTGATCTTTTTGCAGCCCCCATTTTTGTTACTATCTTGACCCCATCTGGAGTCGAATGCTACAGCATCATGATAAATTGTTGTCTTGGATAACATCAACCAGGTGCACACTGTAGCAGGCCAGGGGAGTGGGAACGTGATGTTGTCAAACTGTCCCCTTCTGGCCGCGTCTCTCCCTACTCAAAGGGGTCTGGTGAAAGAAGACCACCAGTTCCTAGATTTTTCTCTTCTCACCAGTTCAGCAGTTTCTCTCCCTTCCCCTCCTCGCCCTTTGCTTTTCTTTTTCTCCCAAACCATGATCATCTGTCTTAGATATCGAAGCTACAAAAACTTTGTTTTCAAATCCCATGAAACTTTATTGATGGTTTAATATCCAACCGATCTTACGGGCATGCACGTAGGATGACGAGGAAAAGCTGGATCACAAACACTTTTTTTTTGTTGTTTTTTGCTTTTTAAAGTTTTGTTTGGTTTTGATTTTAAAGCAGAGTTGTTACAGCAGATTGGCAGGTTCACAGCGTGAGTTGATAACTTACTAAAGTGCGCACCGTGGGGCCGGCACTGCACACACAGGCGGTAACTACTCAGGGAACAGCTTGCTGATATTTTAGAATTTAAATACAAAAACAGGAAGACCCATGACAGATACCCCAACTTAGGTTAACTTGTAAACAGGACAACATGGGGGAATTCAAACAGAAGAAAATCACAAGCTGCAATTTTTCGGCTGTGTTGCTCTGGCCCTGCTCCGAGAAAGAATGGGGCAGACACTGTTCTTTGGGGGAGGGAGGGCATGGTTCTACTTTTGTTTTGTTTTGTTTTTTGTTTTGTTTTTGCTTCCTTCTGACAATTGTCTTGGGCCTTGGCAATAGAAGTAAAGATACCAGTTTAAGATAACCCTGGGGCACTGGGGAGAGGGAAGGGCAGGCTCTCACAGACTGAAAAATTGCAAGTTGCTCACAGCGCAGTCATGTTTTCAAAAAGTATCAAGCTGATGAAAATACCGTGATTATCTCTATTCAATGATTGCGATACTTGTAAAATGCGACTATAAATCCAGATATGATTATCATGTAATTCCATAAAAATTATACGTCTGTCTCTAACAGTTAATCTACTAAGCTAAAACTGAAGCCTCAGAGACTGTTTCTAGAACATAACTCCACTGCACAGATGTAAATTTTATACATATTTTTAACTGGTACAAAGAATTTAAGTTTTTATTACTTTCTTTTTTGGAAAAAAAGAAAAAAATAGAAACAGTGCTTTTTTTTATCACCTTTTTATTAATGTTAATTTTTCCCTCCCGTAATATAAAAGTCAGCAGTGATATCAATAATTTCTCATACTGGAAGAAATATAAAAAGAATGCTTATTGATGGCCTAACTAGTAGCCTTTGCTTAAATAACTAGTGGGTAGGTAAGAAGCTGAGTACTGCAGGTGGAATGATAAGAGGATGGACTGGCCGACACAGCTTCCTTCGACTGCAATCTCCGTGCTATAAGAAGCAGATTCTTAACACAGCCTTTGGCTTAACTTTGCCAGGAGTAACTTAGAACCATAGATTTATGATAGTTGGTGCAGTGGGTCATTTAGATTCATCAGTTACTATATATATGTATTTATATATATATATATATATATATTTTCTTTTTTTCCTTTCAGCCAAACCCCAGTCCCAAACCCCTAAGCCCCTCCCGGCCTCCCCTTTCACAGAATAAAATAATATAGATGCAGAAAGAATGACTTGCCACTTACAGTCTTCCCAAACAGCTTAACCCCAGTAGCTTCTTGTTCGGCATATATAATTCATTTACATAATATAGTACTCTGGATATGGCCCTAAATCGGTTTTTATTCATATCTAGCCTCTCTCTAGATCAACCACAAAACTCCTACAGCCAGCAACTGAACTACAAAAACCTTCAGAAACCAAAGACCCACAATATTAAAATACACAGAACAAAATATCTGAGGTATAAGATAAAAAATGTAATTTTTCCTCTTTTTTTTAATTTTTTTTTTAGTTGTTTCTTTGAGTTGCTAATGTGATGTCCTACTGCATGTGACGCAACACTCAGGCCTCGGAAAGCTTCCTCTCTCCCCACATTGGAAGGTTGGTTTGTTTTTGTTTGTTTGTTTGTTTGTTTAATGGTTTTATCGTTTAATATGGAGCAAAGCGGTTGTATCCCCCTCGGTATATACTAGCCTGCAATGAAGAAAGAACGAGACCCACATCATCAGCATGGCTCCTAGTCTTGGCATCGGTCAAGGGCGCAAAAGCATTCTGAAACAAAGCAATTTGAGGGGTGTGGTTTTTTACATGTTGCCTTTTGTAACATGTGGATCATCAAAAAGACTAATGTAAAAAAAATATAGACACTCAAAATCAACCAAAATAGAGGGCACCCCCTTCCCCATCCCAAAACCTTGTCAGAAAGTTAATGGTGGTCACTCCTGACCTCCTCCAGCAACTCCTTATGAAGAAAAACAAAAATCCCAGGAAATTGAATTGTATCTGCTGGTCCTACCTACCAGCTATGAAGCCTCCGGTTTACACATGGGAAAGTGGATGGAACCAGGTCATTTTACTGGTTTGTTTCTTCAATGAGTGGATTTATTGATATGGTGTTCTACTGGGAGAAGCTCTAAGAATATTCAAAGGTGGTTCTAGACAATGTATTGGACGTAGAGATTCAGGATTCTTTTCCACCCCTTTCTTCAGGTGGCCTAGGTGTTGAATCGGGGTTGTTGGATGCCACATTTAATAAGAATAAAAGCTTGCTTCTAGGCTTGGCTAGGCAGCCTATGAATTCTGATGCTGCAGTGGAGGTGAGACAGGGGCACTGCTGGGTGTGATTAAGCTTGTGTACAACAATAGGTTCTTCTATGCCTGCTTGGGTTTCTATGACCCAGGGTCCAGGAAACTGTCTAGCCATAGCTTCTTATGGCTATGAGGTGACACTTAAGCATTTCTCTTTGCTGCAATTATTGGCAATTCCAATGAATGCCCGTGGGACTGAGTTTTAGGGAGAGGACTAAGATTCTCAACTCAAGCAGAAGACTGCATGCCAAGGCGCTGTATTGATCGCATGTGTTCCACGCGATGGACATGTCTTACTGGACTCAAGAGTGTTAGTGCATAGAAATTTGACAAGTACAGGCAAATTCACCCTGCCCTTGCCCCCCCAATTTTGCCCTCCCCCTTTCCCTTCCCAAAACAAACAAAACAAATCCCAGATTTCCCACCCTCCAAGAAGAACACAAAACAAAACAACAAAACAAAACAAAACAAAAGAACCAAGACAACCCCAAAGCCAGCTGATTCCTTAATTTCTTATGTACTAGGCACACACACAAAGTGTGCCCCTCTGTCTACTTTCTCTCCTGGGCGACTATGACTTTAAACATGAATTGTAAAAGGGGAGGAGAGGCAGGCAGATGCTCAGCTGCCTGACAGCAGAGGCCTGGAAGTCTGCAGCTTAGCTCCTCTGAAGTCTGTGCTGGGGCTGGAACCTTGGGGCTATGTGAATGAGCAGGGCAGCACGGGAGGGAAGGGAAAAAAAAAGAAAAAAAAAGTTCTGCATTGACACTGCATTCCGTTAGTGATGGATTTAATTATCAAAATGACTAATTATTCCATTAAGGTAAGTGCTCGCTAGGTGAGACTTGCAAAATTAGAAATATAATAACTTACATGCACTACATTGCCAAGAAATTAAGACATTTATCAAGTTTACTGGGAGGATTAATGTGGCATTTTAGCTGCTGTTAGCACAAGAGACAAATTCAATTAAGGGAAAGTGAGAGGACTCCAACCATCAGCCCATCCTGAGGCCCCAGCTGGGGTGGGGGGCAGGGAAGATGGCAGGAGGAGCAGAGGACAAGGAGGAGCTGCTACTCACCATGGCACCAACGCCGTAGGTGGGGGCTGGAGCAAGTGTGTGGTGGTAGGGGTCGGCAGCATAAACTCGTCCGTAACTGCAAAGGGAAGAAGAGGTGAGATTGGTCCGTGTGTGCTGATGTACCATGGTTACACTGTGATAAAGCCAGCAACGAGAGACAGAGAACCAACACAGCATAGAGGGGTCGATCTCATCCTAAAACATGAAATAGCCCCTCTCCACTGCAGGATAGGAGGAAGCTCAGACTGAGTGTGGTGGTCTATTTAACACAGCTGCTCATACGAATGTATTCCACATACAGTCATGTTCAAGTTAAAGATGGGGACCTGTTCTGAGAAGGGCATCATTATTCACTTTTGTCTTTGAAACATCACAAAGTACATTTACACAAACCATGAAAACCTCGGTGGTAAAAAGTCTCTGGGGACCATTCCATAGATGTGGCATATAACTGTAAATACACACACACACACACACACACACACACACACACTCACATTCACACAGATACTCACTCTTACATGTACACACACACAAACTTTCACACACATACACATTCTCTTCTACTGTGATGTTGCTACTGAGGCAGGCAGGAAGCAAACAGTAGGGAGACTAGGCTTGAGAAGCCCAGTGTCCCATACAGAATTTAGTGCTCAAGAACAGATGAGCTAGATGTCTTTTCATCTGATTTGATTGTCACCAAGCAAATGAGATCAGGCACATTAGAAAGGGTTCAGTGATTTGTCTGGGCAGCTCTTGCCCAATACTTCAGATTGAAAGAAGCTGCTATACTTAGATGCGACAGTGTGAAGGGTCTGTGCGGCCCCAAGGTTACTCTCAGAAATCATAGTTTGGTTTGGTTTTGATCTTAGTATCCTAGAATTTCATCCACTCTTGGGATAGTTCTTAACATAGGGACATTTGGAGCAGGAATGCCTTCCCAGGGTAATGTGCACACTTGATCTGTAATGTCACATGTCCTTACTTGTTTGACATCCATCCCCACACACCTTTCTGAAGATGATTTGAACAGTGAGAGTTTGATACTGATCAACGTGAATGAAGGACGTTTTAAGTTTCAGACTCCCAGTTAGACCCCAGGTGGATAAAACAAGAGATGATTCTAACTTCGGGTACCTGGGACATCCTATGGATACTCTCTAACAGTCAGACCCTTCCTGCATCTTCCAAGAACAAGGAGCTGACATCACCTAGACCACTCTCCAGCACTCTGCCAGGGCTCCTGGATCTTCAGCTGCATTGTGACAATGAAACCTTTTGTTCAGATGCGCACTTTTCTTCAAAGCTAACAAGTTGTCAGCGCAGTTCCCCTCTCTTTCATTTAATACCTTTGTTCATTAAAAATAAAAATTTCATCAGAGAGCCCAGCTGCTATAAGGAGTAGCAGATGCAAGGTCAAGGCATGAGGGTGGCCTAATGTGAGAATGGCATGTGGTTTGATTTTATTGATTTACATTGCTTCTTAATATTTCACCTGGCAAATTCTGGCTACATTAACAGAAGACTTGAAAAAGTATCTTAGGGCATAGATATGTTCAGCGGTAACCCACAGAGTTCTGAAAAGTAAGTGTGAAGATGGACTTTCAGGACAATTTGGTTTTCATTTTGAGAGTAGTTTGACTGTGGCAACAGTCTCCACTTTGGATTGGGGAGAGAGCTGAATTGGTCAAGTGCTTGTTTTGCAAACATGAGGACCTGAGTTTGAGTTCCCATACTCATATTTTCAAAAATGCAAAGTATGCTGACACTGGAAAAGAAGAGGCCAGTGAGTCTCTAAGACTTAGTGCTCAGCCAACTAACATTACGTGACAAGTTCTGGAGCCAGTGAGAAATCATAAAAAATACAAACAAACAAACAAACCCCCAATAACAAAACAACAACAACATCAGCAACAACAACAAAGGTGTGTAATGTCCTGAGGGGTGACAGTGGAGACAGTCCTCTGGCCTCCACACACAGGCACATATGTGCCTATGTACCTGCACCTAAGAGTCTGCTTTTCCTGAGGTATGGATGAACTGAATGAAAGCATGACTCCACCTTCCAGTCTGCTCTTATCATTTTGGGGCTTTAATATTGGGCATAGCTTCAACCTTTGCAGAAATCCCAAGGTAATAGTTTGACTAACACTCTCTTACAAGGCTAAAGAAAATACAGCAGCCTCAAACTATTCCTCCCAAATGAGAAGGCTCCGGTTCTCTTCAGGGTGACCTCTACCTTCAGAATACCATGGTTTTATGATGATTAATAAATTTCATTTCCACTGAGGAAAAGGGACCATGTCAGCTCTAACCGAGAGCAAGGAAGCTTCTTTTCAAATGCTAATTTCTAAACATGCCCTTGTGTGACAGGACAGTTTAGACACAAGGTTATTAGGGGAAATGGGGACTTGAGCAGTACTTCTTCAGCAGACATGCCAGGCACATAGACACCCCAATGTCCTCAGAGGGAACAAAGAGCAGCAGCTTCCAGGGACCTCCACAGTGTGAGGGCATCATGGCTTAGGGTCTGATCTGGGATGAGATTAGCTTTGACACTGCCATTTCTAGTAAAACTGGACAAGACATAATCAGACTATGAGACTTTCCTGGCCCCAATTCCAACAAACCAGCAATCTTGAAAAATATGAAACATGCTCACTGAAGTCTACATGCTGTATCACCACAGAAGACAGCACCAGTGCTACACCAGATCAAACACAGCAACCTTCGCCCAACTCAAAACCATTCAAATTGAAAGCCATTTATAGTTCTAAGATCCATGTAATCCATCCATCCATTCTTTGATTTGAATTCATCCATCCATTTCTCTATTGAATTAAACATAAATCTGTATAAATTGTATCTCATCATTATTCTGCTTAAAATCTTCCATTGTTTTTTCATGGATTCTAGAATCATATCTTCTGTTCATCCAGGCTTGTCTACCCTTAGTGTCGCATGGCATATATCTGATAATTTCTTTTACTTTTCTATACAGTTGTTCACTTTCCCCCCTCATGGTAAGAAAGACTGTATCTAATTTATAGACATGGACCACTTGAATGAGACAGTAGAGAAGAGGAGAGAACCAGAATTCTAAAGATACTGGAACCCATAGTATACTTTTTTTCATGATTTCAAAAATTATGTACATATATGTATATAATTTTTTAAATTACATATACTTATAGTGTGTGTGTTTACTTTTTTCACCCTTCACACTATTGTCTTAAGTCCAAGGTCTCTCATCGAACCATCCTAGCTTGGCTGGCTGACCAATAAACTCTAGGAATCTGTCTATATTGACTCCTGAATCCCCCTATGTGGGGGTTACAGACACATATGACTATGCTTAATATTTTACATTTGGAATTCAAACTCGGGTTCTCATTCTTACAGAGAAAGCACTCTTTCCCACTCAGCTACCTCCCCAGGACCATGCAGCATATTCTACCAGTAGAAATATTCCTTAGGATATACTTGCTAAACATTCCCCTTAGTCATTGACAGACACTCAAAACCCTTGAAGATACTGCCAAAAATATCTGGGGACTCTTCAAATGGAATGTGGAGCTTTGTACCTTTGGGCACTAGACAAATAGCCACAACGTCTAAATCCTTGTAAGAAAGTAAAACACAGATAATGGGAGCTTCCTTGTTGGCTGCTTCATCATGGTTCCCAGCCAGGAAGCCTCAAGTTAAACCAGGGAGGCAACATGATGTCCCCAGGGAGAGCACCAAGAACTTCCATATCTAAGTTCTGTCTTCACACTGTCCTTGTTCTTCTACGTCAGACAAGACTCCTCTCTTTCTCAGATCCACATCATTCCGACTCCAAAATAGTGTTGCTTCTGTCTGAGCTCTGCCACATTCACATGGGAAATGCATGAAAACCAACCTGATGCATTTGAAAACCATCCACAGAGAACAGAGAACAGTAGGGTGCTAGGCTTCTCACATGGAGCCTCACAAGCTGCCCTCCCCCTACTGTCCAAGCCTTTGATTTCAGAAGCAACAGAAAAGTTCTAGTCTAATATGCTCACAAGTACTTCTAGCAATCAAATTACAACTCCTGTGGCATCAGAGTCTACCTAATTTATAAATCTCAGATGTAGTTTCAATTACTATAGTTGAACTCAATGTTACAGTGCAGTGAAGTCAATGATTCTTCTATCTGTTGAATGGGAAACAAGAATCTATATTTTTATTTATATGCATATGTATGTGCAGTGCGTATGTATGCATGTGTGTTTGTACATGTGTACTGATGTATGTAAATAGCAGATGTTGATACTGGGTGTACATCTGAGGCTAGAGGTTAATGCTGGGTACCTCCTTTGCTGTCCAACTGATTTTACTGAGGCAGGGTCTCTTGCTGACACTGAGAGCTAGCAAATTTGGCTTGTCTAGCTTGCCAGCTCGCTTGAGTCTAGCTGGCACACCACCTGGCTTCTATGTGAGTGCCGAGGATTCTAACTGGCATCCTCTTACTTGCATGGTAAGTGCTTTATCCATTGAGCCATCTTTTCAGCCCTAAAAAACAGTTTAAAAAATGCTTTATGAATCCTACTGAGACATAGAAATAGAACTTATTATTACTGTTTTCAAAAATCTAGTTAGGACAAGTTGCATGCTAATGAAATTTGATGTGCCTGTGTGATCAGCCCAAGCAGAGTTCCAACAGTGTCACAGTTTTCTGCTAAGGGTATAGTAAGTGCAGTATAATTAATTTCACTCCCTTTCAATTAAGAGCCTTATACCATCTCTTTAACATCACCTTCCCACTCTTCTAGTCTCAGAAACAGCTGGAAGAATCTCTATGGGGCAGAAAGGTGGATGAATTCTATTCCCCCCTTGGATGGAGTTCATAAGGTGGTGTGGCCTTCCTAGCCAGTCCAACTGTGTCAGAGAAGTGACTGACTTGTGTCCCTCCTGCAAGAATAATTGTGGAGGGTACTTTCACTTTGCCATGCTTTATCAGGATAGTGAATGACCCCCAGTCTGTAGAGGTCTTTAGGGACTACTGTATGCATTTTCTTTATAGCTGAATTATTAGCCTGTAGGTATTTAGGA